GATTAATTCAGAGCAAGTCCTATCAGACTAACTACTAACATCATTTCTTTTTTAACAAGGTTACTACTAGATTGGTAAATCAGTGAAAGAAAATTGACAACATATTTGGACCCTGTAAATGCGGATCTCTCTCCATATTCTGATCAAGGCAAAAAACCAGGCTGCATAAAGAATAACGACAATAGCTATTACTTGTTGTGTGCAACACTCTTTACTAGACACTTTCCTAGCACTTTATACTTATTAACCATTTGATCTCCACAACAACCCTATGAGGTAAATACTACTATTATCCCAGATAGGGAAACTAAGGCATAGATACATTAGGTAATTTGCTCAAGGTCACATAGGTAAGTGGCACAGCCAGAAATTAGAAGCCAAACAATCTGGGTTCAGAACTCCTGTTCTTAACCACTTACTTACAATAAATAGCTCCATTAGTTGACCTGGAACTGACATAATGTAAGATATGGTACATCTCAAGTTTGTGGATGACATGAAAACAGGATGTTCATGTTACTTTACTTGTCCAAACACATTACTTTACTTGTCCAAAAAGATTAAGGGGTAGATAAATCAGAGAACGTAACAATATAAAATTCTATAGGAGTAAAATATAAGATCCTATATTTGAGTCCAAACCACCAACTCTACCTCCAGTGATAATACTAATACATAGCAGTAGTTGGTAAGAATTTGTCAAATGAATATATGATTGAAGGATAGGATAGAGAGAATGTATGAAAAAAGAAGGATTTAATATACCAAAAGAAAAATATGAATTTAACAAATAATGCTAGAATATGCTGATATATAATTATGTTATATAGAAGTAGATTAAATGAGAGTCCTAAAAGACTATTTATTGGTCTGGTTAGAAAAACGCCAGGTATACTGTGTTAACTTCTGGGAATACACTTTAACAGATACAGGTAAACTGGAATAAGTATTGAATGAAGGTACAGGACCTAAAGCTCTACTACCTGAGGTATAATGGAGGAAACTTCAAACATTTAAAGTGGAGAAAAGAACTCAAGTGAATACAGTAACAAACTTCAAAATGAAAGGTACTGTCATGAAAAAGAAGCATCATATTTACCCTTAAGAATTAAATAAAGCCAACTGATAGAAACTACAGAAGCTACAGGAAAACAAATTCAGTGTCAATATAAGGAAGACTTTCCCAACAGTCAGAAATAACTAACAAAAAAAAAACAAAACAAAACTAGGAGAAGAGGGTGCTATGTCAGAAGGGTACGACTACCCTAAATATGATAAAATAACTCAATGAAAGATTGGGCCAAATTAACTCAAAGATCTCCTTCACATCTATGAACTTACTATAAAATAAAAGGTAATTTTTATAAGGCTGTCTTAAGGAGTTTCCAATGGGTTAAAATAGTCATATCAGTTGCTAAAATACATATGCAATGATAAAATTTAAATGTAAAGGAAAAATAAGAAAATAGAAGTTATTTGTCAAGTCTGTAAATGAAGAGAGCTTTAAGCCTAAAAGCACTGGAATAAAATTCAAAGGAAAAGAACAAATTTGACTACATAAATATTTAAAACTTTTACATATGAAAAACATTAAAAGGCAAATAAGGTTGGGCACATGGCTCACGCCTGTAATCCTATCACTCTGGGAGGCCAAGGAGGGTGGACTGCTTGAGCTCAGGAGTTCAAGACCAGCCTGAGTAAGAGGGAGACCCCATCTCCTAAAAATAGAAAAAATTAGCCAGACATGGTGGCATAGGCCTGTAGTCCCAGCTATTTGGGAGGCTGAGGCAGGAGGATCGCTTGAGCCCAGGAGTTTGAAGTTGCAGTGAGCTATGATGACACCACTGCACTCTACCTGGGGTAACACCATAGCAAGACTCTTTCTTGAAAAAATAAAAAGAAAAAGGCAAGTAAGCTGTGCATATAGGATAAAGGGATTGTATCTTTAATATAGGGCTATGTTGTCCAATATAGTAGCCATAGCCAGATGTGGCTATTTAAATTAATTTAAACATTAAAAATTTAGTTCCTCAATTCCACTAGCCACATTTCAAGTGCTGAATAGCCAATGTGGCTAGTAGCTACTGTGTTTGCACAGTTATAGAAGATTTCCATCATTGTAAAGGTTCTATTGGAACTTGAATATTTAAAACAGAATAATTTGGTGCAGGGAATTTATTACATTAGGTGATAAAAGAGCTGAGAGGTCAAACAGAGGGTTGTACAGAAATCTAGAGATTCACAACAAGGAGCCATTACTATCCCTAAGACAGAAGGACAAAGCACAGAGTCCAAAACCCAAGGTCACCTGGCAAAAGCTAGGACCATAGCAGGTGTCTAGAGTGGGAGTGGGAAGACAAGGA